AAATAGTTCAGCAAGTGCTTGAGGGCAAGACATCAGAGTTCTTTGTGAGCGATGGTGTCCTCTATTTCAGGAATCGGTTGTGCATTCCTCCGAATGAGGAGTTAAAACAGAAAATTCTTATGGAGGCTCATGACACACCGTACACAGCTCATCCGGGAGCAACCAAGATATATCAAGATGTAAAGAAAGGCTATTGGTGGTCAGGTATGAAGAAAGACATTGCAAAGTTTGTAGCTAAATGTCTAACTTGTCAGCAAGTAAAACAGAACACCAACGACCATCAGGGTTGCTTCAACCACTGAGTATTCCAGAGTGGAAATGGGAGAGCATTTCGATGGATTTTATCACGGGTCTCCCCAGAGTACAGAAAAGGTGTAATGCTATATGGGTGATTGTGGATAGATTAACCAAATCAGCCCATTTTCTTCCAGTAAAGGAGAGTACCACTACAGATCAGCTGGCTCAGATTTACCTCAAGGAGATAGTAAGATTGCATAGTGTGCCCAAGACTATAGTGTCAGATAGAGATTCCAGATTTGTTTCAGCTTTCTGGACGAGTTTATAGAGGAATTTGGGTACCCGTTTAGCATTTAGTACTGCCTATCATCCTCAGACAGATGGCCAAACTGAGAGAATGAATCAGGTGCTCGAGGATATGTTGAAAGCCTATTGCATGGATTATCGAGTATCCTGGCATGAGATGTTACCCTTAGTGGAATTTTCCTACAACAACAGTTATTAGTCTACAATTAGAATGGCGCCTTACGAGGCTTTATATGGTAGACGATATAGGTCTCCACTACGTTGGGATGAGGTAGGCGAAAAAGATGAATTGAGTATCGCTCTTGGGCCAGTGGTGACTCAAAAACTAGTTGAAGATGTGAAGTTAATCAGAAATAGAATGAAACAAGCCCAAGATCGACAGAAAATTTATGCCAACTTGAAGAGGAAAGAGGTGGAATTCCAAGTAGGTGACAAAGTGTTTTTGAAAGTTTCCCCCTACAAACGAGTAATGCGCTTCGGAAGCAGAGGAAAGTTAGCACCGAGATATATAGGTCTATTTAAGGTATTGCAACGAGTGGGAAAGATGGCCTACAGGTTGACTCTACCACCTAGCATGGACAAGGTGCATGGTGTTTTCCATGTCTCGATGCTACGGAAGTATGTAAGTGATCCCTTCCACATCTCGAGTGTAGAGGACATTGAGTTAACAGAGAATCTAGTATATGAAGAACGTCCAGTAGATTCTAGATCGAAGGATTAAAGAGCTTCGGAACAAGAGTGTTCCGCTAGTGAAGATCCTTTGGAGGAATCACAAAGTGGAAGAGGCCATGTGGGAGGTAGAACGGGACATGCATAATCGCTTCCCAGAGTTATTTGTATGAATTTCGGGGACAAGATTCTTTTAAGGGGGGAAGAATTGTAACGCCCCACTTGAGGTACGTAGCTAATGTTTCTTCTTTTGCTCTTATTTGAGTCGGTTTATCAGTATTATTGTTTGGTTGGCCTTTGATTGAGTGGTATGTTGAATACTTGCCTTGAAATTGGTTGAAAATAGAAGAAGTTTAGTGTTCCAGGCTTCGTCGGGGCGAAGAAGAATCTTCGCCACAACGAAGAGGTGTTGAAGCCCACGGGGAAGCTGCTGGACAGTTTCGCCGCAGCGACGTGCCGACCAAAATGTTCGTTAAGTTTTAGATATTTTCTTCCCTAAGGGCAATTTGACCATTCTACCCCTAATTAGTAGGAAAAGTGGGGAGTAAAATGTAAGGAATTTTCTTGGAGAATATGTTAATATGGGGGGGTGTTTGTAATGAATCAAAGGATCTAGATGGAATTCCTAAGGAAGAGTAAGGGCAAAATGGGAATGCTTATGCATAAATTGTATTAAAAGGAATTAAGTTATTGCAAACCCTTCATTCTTCTTCTCCACCGCCACTCTCCTTTCTTACTTCCTCTCAATTTCTCTTTCATTTGTTCAAGGATTTTTAGAGGGCTTTTGGAGTGTTTTGGGGTAGAAAATCAATCTAAGGCATCCTAAGGTAAGGATTCTTGCTTTGGATGTGAAGTTTTGTGAGATTTTGTGTATATTTGAATATTGAGGTCTTTTGGTTGAATTGTTTAATTGTTTAAAGGGTAGAGAAAAGTCAAGCAAACCAAGAGAAAGGAAGTGCTAGTGAGATCTCTCCATCACAAGGTAAGTAAATCCCAACCCAAGTAGAGATTTGAGAACTTTCTTGAATAGAGAGTTAATAGCAATTATGTATGTATGTATATACATGTGATATGCTATGTTATTAAGATTTAAATGGAGATAATTATTGCTTTATGGTTGTTCATACACTTCAATTATGAGAAGTGAGATGTGGGTTGGGAATGTAGTTTGAGATGGAATTGAAGGATATTGAGAAATCCTTTTTGGAAATGTTATTCTATGGCAGGATTTATGGCTATGTGAGGGAGTTTTCTCCCATTTTGGATGGTTAGAGAAAGACATAGAATTATTGTTATAATAGAGTCTTGTTATGCACTTGAGTTGTTTGATGAAATGTCTAATAGAGGTTTGGGTATGAGTAGTAAATCTTAATTCTTGCAACATTGCATGTTGGCATTTCATAAGTGCATTAGTGGAGATGAACCATCCATATGCATTAATTGTGCATTGAGAAGTGAGGTAAGAAAGAGTATAAAACTTTGTGTATGCACTTGCTCTATGAGTAGAGAACTTTGTGAATGCAACTACTCTAAAGGTAGAGAGAATGAGAAGTGCTAGAGTAGAGTGAATGAGAAGAGTATTAGAAATGGGTTGATGCTTTGTGATCGTCACCTGATAGTTATTAGAAACGGGTTGACGCTTTGTGATCGTCACCCGATAGTTATTAGAAACGGGTTGATGCTTTGTGATCGTCACCCGAAAGTCATGAGAAATGGGTAGGTACTTTGTGGTCTCCACCCGATAGTTATAAAAATCGGGTAGTTGCTTTGTGATCCCCACTCGGTAGTCACTAAGAGCAGGTTGGTGCTGTGTGAACTCCACCCAACAGTCATGAAGAGTGAGATGGTGTTGTGTGAACGCCATCTGGCCGTACCTCCGGTAAGATGAGGCCATAACGTTAGTAGAAAACAATAGAAAGAAAGTGTGAGGAAGGAATTAAGAAAAATAGGTACGGGGATAGACAAATAGAGGGTTTACTTACTAAGCATTATTTTGTGCTCACCTCGTCATTTTTCCTTTGTGGATGTAGGATCTAGGTGATGATGCAGTCAGAGGGGCGTCGGCAAGCGAGGAGCAATAGCTACACCGTTTTCCCTGTTTTTGTCTTTTTAAATGGCATTTTGTAAATGATGCTCTTTGTTTATAAAAGACTTATTACTTATAATAGAAAGAAAAGTTTGGGGCCCATTTTCTATTATTATTATGCAAGCATTTTACTAGTTTACAACAGTTGTTACAATTCCACTTGTCCAGAAGGTGTAGCACCCATCGACATAACTAGGTTGGCTATTGGAGGTGAAACTGGTATTTGGAGCTGAGGTTAAACTACTGGAGCTTAGGGATTTGTGTTCACTTGGTTACTTATACTCTCCGAGATAACCCTTCTAAAGGCCTCAGTAATGGCTGCCTAAATCATCCTGTTGATTGGAGCCTCATCCAAAACAGAAGCATTTTGGGTAGACGTAGGTGGTCCACTATTAGGGGGTGCAATGATAGCTGGTGCTACTGGCTCACTAGTGCCCTCTTCATTAACATTCTCCTCGCCCCTCCTATTAACCTTTCATGAACGCCTCGTAGCCATACCCTTTACTCACACAAATTTCAATCAATGTTAGCTAATTCTATTCACTAAGCAAGTAAAGAAAATACTTAGAGCAATCGACTNAATATCTATAGCTGCATACTATAAGGATTGTAGCAAATTAATTTTCACATTCTTTATTTGCTACAAATTCAAATAATTTATAGCTAATACACACATATTAACTATTTATTGAAATTAGTAGCTAACAATGATACTAAAATGTTGTCACTACCATGAAAATAAAATTTGTATAGCTAAATACCTTAATGAGCTACAAATTTTAATATTTTATAGCTAATGTATAAATAATAGCTATATAAGTAAAATTGTAGCTAATAATGATACTATATGCAACGTACATAAAATGTTTATAGCTAAATACATTAATTAGCTACAAATCTCAATATTTTATAGCTAATGCACAAATAATAGCTATATAGTTAAAACTCATAGCAAATAATGATACTATATGCCATGTAAATGAAATATTTATAGCTAAATACATTAATTAGCTACAATGTTTTACCATAGCTAATACATTGTAGCTAAATGAATAGCTATTGCCACAATTTTAATAAGTTAAAGAAATAGATGAATATTAGCTTCGAGGGAGAAATTTTTATCACTAAAATTATTTCAATTAGCTATAAATATTTACTTTTATAGCTGTAAACATGTATTTGCTACAGTTTTTCTTTTCGTAGCTAATTTTCGTAGCTATATGTGTATATTGTTGTAGTGGTACGGCCGACCTGCTCGGCGGCAGGCAACTAGCCGACGAGACTGGAGCAGACCTGCTTGAGTTGATCCATTCTTTCGAGTTCCCGTCGCCCGCATTTAGATCGCGGAGGTACCGAAACAGTATACTTGATGGGAGGAGATGGCGGTAGCAAGAAGCTGTGCCGGTAGTGGAGGCGGCGGAGATGGCCGGAAGAAATCATGTGTAAATTCTTTTAAATTATGAACACGAGGTTAGTCATTTCTTCGTATTGTTGCTGTAGCGGTGGAATTTTGGATGATGGAGGTGTAGGGATTTAATCGTTATTTAAATGGCCAGACCTCCCAATTTTACATTTAAAAAAATATCCTAAAATTATTTTTGAATTTTTTTTTTTTTTATTTAGAAAAGAGGCACACTTAGATCATCTTCAACCAATNTATTGGTTCACTTATATTTAGACATATAATAAATTTTATTCTCTTTTCAGGATGAAGACACCATGAATTATCAAGAACATGAAACTGGGGATAATCAATCTAGTCCTGCTGAGGAACTTCAAAAGGTGCTTTCAGTTAGCCATGAGATAAACTTTTTCCTGTCAATTTTTTTTTTTTCTTCTTCCAATCTGATTGAATTTGGTTGGATTCTGCATTGCAGGATGAATTGGAGACAGAAAACCTTGCAGAAGGTGTCTCAGTCCAAGAAGAACAAGTCAAAGAGGAGGCAGAGTTCGAGCAAAATCATGGAGATGGAGAGCCTAAGGAGCAACAACAGTATGTTCCCCGAAGACCCTATCAGAATCAAAGAGGTGGTCGCGGTGGTGGTGGTGGTGGTGGCCGTAGGGGCTATTCAAATGGTCGTGGAGGTCGTGGCAGTGGCAGAGGAGGTGGAGGCTACCAGAATGGCCGCAACCAATATTATGATCAGCCTGGTAACTATTATCCAAGGAACTACTATAACAATAGGGGAAGGGGAGGCAGGGGTGGTGGGCACCCTTACAATAACCATGGTGGGGCAGTTCAAGGTGGTTATGCGGCAGCTGACCTTGGTGTGAAATCATGATATCATCCCTGGTTAGGTGTCTATAGGGTGTCTGATTACTAGCTTATGTGGTGGGTGGTAAAAATGTTCTTTTCCTTTTTGAGACTTGCATGAAACATGAAACATGGTTTTAATGTGGGTTGATGTCTCGTTAAAAGCCCCATCCAGGTTACCCCTTTTCTTTTTGTAGTTGAGTTAATCGAGGATATTTATCAAATGGAAAACCAGATAAGAGTTGGGTAATTATTTTTACCATGAAATTTCTTGAAGTATCCATGATTGGATTTGGTGCCAACTAATCATCTTAGAGTGGAACTTCCATTCAATCTTATAACCCGTTTTCTGAACATAGAGCGATGACTCTTGAGCCTCGTACATGAACTATGAAGAATCCATAGGTAACAGGACATTCAGGACCAGCATCTGGTCTGCTGTATGAAACGGTTTCAAACTGGCAAATCATCATTGTTTTAAAAACCGGACCGGCCGGTCCAACCGGTCACGTCTCTAGTTCGAGTCAACTCTAAACCCGGTATTGTGCAATAACTTGCTTAAACACGTCAATGGATCGCGTGAACAATGTAAACCGTCAGTCCAACCGGACCGCTAGAAAAATCGGTCCAATGTTGAAAAGGGCAAAAAGCCCTTATTTCTCACCTTCTCTCATTTCGCACTTTCTCCTTTCTCTACGCGCAAAATGTTCTGAAAAAAATTTAATGAAATCGCAAAAATCTGAAATCACACACAAATCAAAACTCAATCCTTGTTGAAATCGCAACCATTCCTTACTGAAATTGATCGCAACTCAACTCTCTGAAATCGTGACGACGCCTTCCTCCCTCGTTGGAAATCGACGACGACAGCCAATGTTCTGAAAACCGGACCGGACAATGACTTGTTCAAGGGTCCGGTTTTCGGTTTGACCGGTTGGATCGGTCGGTTGGACTGTAATTTGTAAAAAAATTTTAGTCCCTAAAGGTTTGAAATTCATCAAAAACACCTCTATAATACTCCCTTAAGGTTTGAAATCTATCTAAAACACCCCTGTTGCGCGAAGATTCTGGTTAGTGGTGGCGGCAGCGACGATCGACGGCCAATCGAAGCTGGAATCTTGGGGCTTTTGATGTGTAGGTGCCAGCGACTCTAATGGTGGTGCTAGGGAGTTCCATCGTCGTCGAAACTAGCCGGAATCAACAAAAGAAATTCGACGTTGCGTGAACTTTAAGTGGACGGCGATCGACGTAGGCTGGACGACGACGACTGAAAATGGATGGTTTTGGTCGTGGAGATGCCGTCCGTCGAATGGGGGTGTTTTCTCCGTTGAAAGATGCCAGAATCCGACGGGGTTTAGCTGCGATTTTTTATATATACCGGTCCGGTCCAACCGCGGTCCAATATGGTTTAAATCAAAATGGCGGTTTTTTATATATACTGGACCGGATTTGCCGCCGGTTGTCGGTCGAACCGGTCCGATCGGGCTGTTCGGTCCGGTTTTCAGAACATTGACTACAGCTCTATTCCTTGCTGGAAATCGATGACAGTGATGTTTGTGATAAGCAGCTGGATCTGTGAGTAATTGTTTGTTTGTTTGTTACTGCTTGGTTTACTCGACAAGGCAGCCTAATCACTGGTGGGTTCAATTTTCACAGGTTTCACCATCTGAAGTTGTATCCTGAATTTGAATCCGGTCCCAGACAACCAAAAAACCTGTTGTTGTGGAAACTTATAATGAGATTGTTTTCCCTGAACCTTCTGAGGGTTTCTTTGCTAGTGTGTTTGATCATCTTGCTGTAATCGTGCCTCGACTACCAGCTGGTTTTTGCATACCTACTATCAGTAAAGTTCCTTACTTTTTTTTTTCCCTCAGATTTTTGCCCATTATGATATCTATGAGGTTATCTTTGGTGTTTAAATTTCTGCAGCACCACTTTATATTATGAATGAGTAGGGGAAAGGTGAAACCAAGAATCATCCTCTTAGCCAGTGGTACTTGAATTTCTCCGAGGCAGATGAGCTTTTGAAACTTGCCGCAGCTCGTCAGCAGGTTAGATGGCTTTGTTTGGTTAATTTACTTGATTGAACTCTTCAGAGTTGTTGATTATATTTATTATGGCAGTCATACTAGTTATTGCCAATGTGTGCTGTTTGTTTTTTTAAGGAGATTTGAAATAATATATACTTTTGATAAGAAAATGGTATCTAAAAAACTATAAGTTACCTATCATCTATGACTGTTGGCAGTTATTGTAAATTGATAACTTCTGTTGTTTAGTATTTGTCACTGTCATGTACCATCTTGGTTTCATGGTTCCTCCCTACCTCATCATAGTGGTTATTAATTGGATTTATTCTGGAGGCTATAAGCATTGATTTACCTTACTGATGTTTTGTGGCATTTCTGCTTGTCACGTTTTTTTGAGAGTTAGAAGAAAAAGAGGCAGAAAGAGAGAAAGGAGAGAAAAAAGATTGTTTTTGGATTAAAGAGTTCATAATCCAACGGTTTGATTATTGTTTGATTAGTGAAAGTTTTTGTGTAGAAGATTTATCGTACATCTTCATTTAAGGTGATTTCTATTTTTACTTAAATTTACGTAAACGATGGTGATGGTTATGATGATGATGATGAATTTTGATGCTAATATGTGAAGCTCAATCAACATAGGGACGGATCAAAGAAAAAATACTTGCATCAAATGTTTTGTTATTAATTATTATGTATTTTGTAATTTAATATATAATGGATGAAGTGATGAACACAACATCATGTTTGGAATTTGAATTGTTGTTAAATACTTAAATTATATTAAGATTGTTATTGAATTTGAACTTTGAATCATGTTGGATAATAATTAAGTTGTTATTGTCTTATTAAAAATTGAAAATCTTAAAAAAAAAAAAAAAAAAAAAACAGATTTTTTATGTGTTGACATCATCATGCTGGTGTGATGATGTCATTGATTCAACCAGTGATCCAATCGGTTGGACCAGTTGACCCGTGACTCGGGAAGCATAATGGGTTACCCTCCGGTCCGGGTTTTAAAACAATGCAAACCATACTTCAATTTGCCCATTTTTTTGGGTTTCAACTTGTAACATATGACATGTGGACCGCATATTGATATTTGCCGAAATCCAATTTTGCGGCTGTGGAATTGGGTATATTACCTTTCCCTGTATATATTGTGGAGATTAAGGGTGCATCAGATAAATCATCAATCAAAGTCATACAGATACTGTCGTAATCATGTCTGCAACTTCGAATAAATGAGAAAACTTGAAATTAATTACAGAATGCCAGAGAATTAGAGTCTGCAACCGATAAATGATGTGATAAAAACTTATGATCAACTGTAAAAAGGGTCTTAGAGCCAATTGGGTATTTAACAAAATGACATATATATAGGTAGTTTTACACGAACGAACACTACTTATTAATTTTTTCTTATAAATGCGATGTGTCACTTTATAATGGATTCTGTCTATTAAACAATAGATTTCATCTGATTAAATAAAAGTTAATCAATTATAAACTATTACATTACATTTGTGCGAGAAATTAGTGAGAAAGTGTTTAATTTTTGATATACAACAAAATTCAAACAAGTTAAATCAATAAATTCCTGTCGTTCATGTCATTGTCTTAATTAAGAATAAGATGCTAGATAATGACGGCACTAATAATTAAAAAAGCATGATAACCAACAACATCACAGAATGTCAGAACTACAATTCTACTGCCGACCTCAAATGTCGTATTGGCTTTTGCTATGATCTTGTCAAAAGCATCTTTTCCTCTCTAATTTAACAAATAAGGTTATCCCAGAAGGAATTAAATGTAAGAATGACCTCAAGTTTATAGCTTTTCAATTGTCACTATAACTTCTACCTCTACCTCTGCCTTTTTTTTTTTTTTTTTCTTTTTACTTTTCTTGTAAAAAGTTGGTTTTTAAGTGAACTATGATGGTTTCTCATTATCTTGCTATTGGCTATAATAAGAGTGTTACACAAGACCAGTAATGTTGTTGTTCTTGTACTTGAATATATAAAAAAAATAAGATGCTCCACTTTTAAATATAGGACCATTAGATATATAAAGGAAGATGCTCTCTCAGTGGCTACAAAATTAAAATGGCTTACGCATCTTCTATTTCTGCATATTTTCTATGTGCCTACGTACATTTACAAATCACAACTGTTATGGCCATTTCCCATTTCCCCATTCTCCTAATCAGTTGACTTCACTTTCCCCATTAATACATTATTTAAATGCCGTATTTGACATCATTTTATACTTGTCAACGTTTCTTTTTAACTAAGTTGTGTTTGTATAAATTCTTTCAAAAGATTAACTGCTCCTTTATTATCTGTCGACAACTCAAACATGTCGTAATGGTTATTACCTTCTATTAGTTCCTTAGTTCAATACAGCTAATAATTCTCACTAACTCAAATTGTTACAGGATGGTTTGATATGGTTAGATTCTCAGGAAAATTCATTACAAAATCAATAAAAAATTACGAACTCTAATGCGTTACAATGGATGGCCAGTAACAAAAGAATCCTTTTCGCAGAATCAAGCCGTATAATTTCATTTTATTTAGTCATTAATTCTTGCGGCCATGAGATTAAGATTATGAAGATAATATGCTAGAAGTATAGAACCAAATACCGACAATCATATATAGTTTTTAAAAAATGAATAGCCACTATCATGGAATCGAAGCTTGATGCGATCATGACAACATGAGTCATATAAAGCCATCCCCACCACCACACTCTCAACTCCAAACCAAATTCAATCTTCTCCTCTTGTAAGTTGTAAGCAACTTTTTCTTTGAGAAATTAATTAAGCACCAACTTAGCTTAATTTTTTTTCTTCTAAAGATGGGAGCAAACATGTCTGACTTCGAGAACCCACATGGATTTAGCCCTGTAAAAACCAACCAGCTTATAGAGTGTCATTCCAAGAACCAATGGAAGGCTCAATTTGATGCCAACAAAGAAACTAGCAAGCTGGTGAGTAGCCATTTCTTTTCTTTATATACATGGGAGTTATATTTGATTGTTTAATATTAAATGGTTTAACGTGGTTTTTGATTTTTTTGGTGAAGACGGTGGTTTATTTCACGGCTACATGGTGTGGACCTTGTAAATTCTTGGAACCGTATATCAAAGAGTTAGCTGCCAAGTATTCAGACGTCTTGTTTATCAAGATTGATATCGATAAGCTGGCGGTAAGTAATTAAAACTCTTAATTATATAAAATAGGTTGCTTGATTATCATGCTTATAATATTTTAATGGAAATGAACAGGCAGTGGCAAGGGAATTTGAGCTGATTGATGTGGTGCCAACCATGGCTTTTGTTAAGAAAGGGAAAGAAATTGATAGGGTAGTGGGAGCCAAAAAGGAAGAAGTGCAGATGAAGATTGAGAAACACAGGACATTTTAATTAGGATTTACTAATCTAAATGCTGCTGCCTTAAATTAAAAGCAAGGCTCTACAGACTACAAACAATAAGTGGCTGAAACTCATGACCACCATCATCACAATTAACTCATTGCCATTTGCTTTGCTAAATAAAATTGTCATTTCTTTAATTTTCATATTATCGTAATTGTAGTTTGTTGAAGCTATAGACTACAAACAATATGTATGTTTTACTATCATTCCTGCTTCTTGTAAGGATTTGATTAAGGATAATTAATACATTACTGTTTAATTTGCAATTTGTTTTTAATTAGAAACCAGAAACAGAATAAAATCTATAAGATATAATCCTGAGAATAACAAAGTGCAGATGGTTTTGTTGGGCGATTCCAACTCTCTTATATGTTATGCTGGTTGTTGTAACTAAAGCCTAACTTATCAATCACACAAACACACAATCAAGAATCAAGAATCAACACCAGAGGTTTTACCGTGATTCACTTATCCAATTTATATAGGCTACATCCACGTTGAGCTCCGGAAATGGAGAGCTCACTGCACTAATCTTTAATTGAAAACAGTTTACAATCACTCTCAGATCAACCTAATTTGAGCAACCCTTAAACCAACCAAATTGTAACTTCTAATCCTAGAGATATCCTCTCTGGAATCCCTAAACCTTGAGAGAACTATAACCCCACAGAATGACAAGATCCTATCACTCAATCTTTATAAGTCACACAAATTTGATTCAAGATCGTAAACTCTAATAGAGAACTCTTACTTGCTCAATGTCAAAAACGCAAAAGAAGCCTCTACTTGAATCTGAATATTGAGCTGCTTTTATAGAGTTGACTGGAATTGATGATTACAGTCGTTGGATCTTTGTTTGATCAACGGTTTGAAATTATCCACACAAAATGACATCGCACCACTAACTCCAAAATGACGCAGCTTCAAGTCTTCACTCAACAATCTCCACCTTGAAGACTTGAAACTATATTAGTGTAGATTGCTCACAATCAAATCCCTCATCACTTTGGTCACTCCTGCCTATTTTATAAACAGTAAGTCCAAGCAGTGCTTGAACTTGGCAGGAGTGACTATCTTAGTGCCCATGTCTGCTGGGTTGTCTTCTGTGTTGATCTTCTTCAAATCAATTGTTCATTGCATGACTAGGTCTCTTAAAAAATGGAAGCGCACGTCCATGTGCTTGGTCCTTTCGTGATAAACAGGATTTTTACTTAGATGAATCGCGCTTTGGCTCTCTGAGTGAATAATCACTTTCCCATTAGTCAAACTTGCCTCGGACAGAATTCCCTTCAGCTATAATGCTTCTTTAAACACATTGGCAACTGCCACATATTAGAGTAGATGCCCTAGAGCCAATCAATTATTGTAGAATTGACTCTTTGTAATAATGTTCATTAATCAATAAAAGGCATTTTATTCTATATCGCGTAAATCATTATTATTGCAATATATATTGATATATGTCCTTAGAATGGTAGAGCCGTGACGAGGGTATCAAGTGTTTCAAATCTTGATAGTGAGAACCCTATGAGCACATATGGTGGCCATTCTAGAAACGTCCGTAGCCCCAGTATTATTCTGAACTAAGGGCACAGATAATACGGTAAGGCTATCATAGTGTTGAACGACCCTGTCGAAAGGCAGTGACTGATCTCACTTGTCAAGGTTGTTTGGTGACAACCTGGTGCAACACATGGGTGTTTGTTGTAGGCGATTACACCACAGCAAGTTCACTGGACTGACCCACCAGAGGATTCCATATGGATGGTAACCCCAGTGTCTATGGAACAAATCCTCTAACGAATGGTGGTGCATGTGATCCTTAGACTTGAGTCACCGGAGGCCTTGTGCACCGATTGTGTGTAGTTTACACTAGCCTAACGCAGTTCTTTTCAGAGCTGTCAATACGGTGGTGATTGGCTGCATCAAGGAGTGTATCAAGACTATGGTGGATTGACAGAGGATTTATCAATCCCGGTACGGAGAAAGTTATCTCACGGCGCAATTCAGTATATGACAATGACACTAAAACTGTGGCCACAGCGGGATTGAGTTGTTGCTCTATCCAGTTTATAATACGGTCATTGGTCCAGAAACTGAATAATAATATCGAGAGTAACCGAAGGTTGACACTATTTCTATGCCTTCGTCTCGTCGAGATAACGTATGATGAAGGGATCGATTTCACGGTAACCATATCGTTGACAGTAGCTACTTTGCTGAATTCGAATCTATCGGGTGGCCATGATGCCTTGCTAGGGGCCATCTTGGTCTGTATATTAGTGAGACGATTAATTGGTGTTAATCGCAACTACACTGCCGATATGATGAGGAGCCTAAGGGTCACACCATAGAAGACATTTAAGATGCAGAAGAAAGAAGGGCGTTTTCGTCTTTTAAGGCAAAAGGGTATTTTGGTAATTTCACAGTGCAATTAAATTTGCTGAGGTCTGTAGCCTTTATTTAATTGTTTAGAAAAATTAAATAAGTGAAATTACGTTTAAATATGTGTTCGCACTATTTAAAATTATATCATTATTGTTAAATGTTAATATATAATATTAATTGATTTTAATTGAGATAATGATGGAAATTAAAATAAATCAATTGGAGTGTTTGGCAACATGGGACGTTTGGGTTGAAACCCAAGCCTATTCCGTATGGGATTAGGGCAAATTGTTTTTAAATATAAAGGAAAAGTGTGTGATTTTTAATGGGAGAGTTTTTTTCTTGTAAAACCTAAAACACACAGCAGCCCTTTTGCTACTCCCACGGCAGATTGACTTGGCCTTGAATCAATTTCATTGATTCTTCTTTTCTTCTTAATCTTGAAGCCAAAGAGGATCTAGCAAATCTCTCTTTGGTTCTTTTAAGATTGTCTTCGGTGGACTACGCAGGTTCGATCCTACACTTGGATCGGTAGCAAAACGTTCGTCGACAAATTTGGAGGAGCCTTCAACGTGCGTTTGTTTTTTTTAAACTCATGTTGAATATTTATGCAGATTTTTATTAATATAATTGTAAAATCATACCCTTGATCTTGGCTCTTGTAAACGATCCCTGAGTTATATTATTTTTTTCCCGCTGCGTATACGGGACCGTTTACTTACACCACATACTCAACTTCGTCGACAGAGAGTCACAATAGGTTGTAGTCAGGGTGGATCCAGCCCATTTTGGGTGGGCCCTCAAATTTTTCTTTTAAATATTAATATATATAATTTTTGGATTTTGACCCACCCTAACAAAAAATTAATAGACAAAAATATTAATATGTATCTTTTTATTTTTGGCCCACCCTAAAAAATTTTTCTGGATCCACCATTGGTTGTAGTTGAGTCTTCCAGCTTATGCAGTTACCTCGAAGGGTGAAGTAGTAAGATGGGATATGTTTACTTGTTATAAAAGCAGCAGTCTGTTGCAAGCTGTATAAATATTCTTATCATTTCAATTTGTCACTATTGTATAAAGAAAAAATGCTCCCAGAATATTCTTTTTTCTGTAAAAGAGTTGGTTCTTGAGTGGGTATGAAGAACTCAAATTCATGAGAGAAACATTCTGATTATTTCCAACCCCACAAAAATATTTACGTTAGAATATGATAAAAAATTTCTTTCTTTAAGAGGTTAGCATGGAGTGTTCTGTTCTGTTATAAGAGTGTTCGATAGGACCAGTATTTTTAAAGATATAAAAGATGCTCCATTTTTTACATAAGGATCATTAATTATATAAAGGAAGGAAGATGCTTTCCCAGTAGCCACAGAATTAAGGGTAGAAGATGGTTAGATTCGTCGGTGGGCAGCAGCAAGCAACAGATTAAAAATTAACCAATTTTATTTAATTAATTCTCAAACACGTTGTATTTTTTAATGCACCCACTCTCACCTCATAAGATGCTCCATTTTTACATATAGGACCGTTAAGTTTATAAAGGAAGAAGCTCTCTCTCTAGTAGTCACATACTTTTATGATTTTGTTCAGTCTTTTAGAAAAATTTAAAAGCATTATTTAAATGTGTATTCAAAAATAAAATGCAGTGGACTATTTGTTTCAAAATATTTTTATAATAATTATTAATTATACTTTTTGCATTTTTTTATTATTTATTCAATATTAATAACTTTATATTTATTATAATTGATTAAATATGTACTCGTTACCCCTTTTTGTGAATTTTTTAAAGTTTGCAATTAAAAGTAGAAAACAATGTGCACATTATGTGTGTGTTATATATATAGTGGTATATGACTTAAATTATGTGTGGAATTGGCATATTGTAATTTTATTGAGTTCTAATAAAGATGATTTATACAACTAAGATACTACTTAATTAACAACAACAATAATAATAATTTATTATGATAATTTTACGGCAACATCAAAAGTTATATTAATATTAATCTATTAACGATTTACACATTAATTGTTATATATGTTTAATGAAATTTTTATATCGTTTTTCAACAGATATATATAATACAAATAAAACCTATGGTTCTAGTATGAGAGTCTATAATTTTAGTTTTGGAACTCTTTAAATTGATGAAAAGAAATTATGTGATTGCATTTAGCAAATGGAGTTGAAAGTTAAACTTAAAACAATTAAATAAAATCTAAATAAATAGCATTGAATTCGAAGCTAACAAAATCGAGTACTATTAACATTATATTTATTTATTTATTTAAAAAAAAATTGATTGATACATAAAATATAAAACCTAAAATAAAAAAATTAAACTCAAATCAACAAAATTGGGTACCATTAACATTGGACTTGAAATATTCAACGTGCAATTTAATCCATTAATAGTATTTAAAACTAAAGATAACGTAAATGAAACATACAATTTAAAACTTGAATATTGTAATGTCAAACGTGAAACTATATATATTTGATACGAAAAAAACAATTAAATTGAAACTAATAATATGTTACTTGAAACATTTAACGCAATTGAAATCTTGATAATAAAAATGATGCTATTAACATAACATGAAACTTTTTACTTACTTCAAAATTTACAATTCCGAATAAATTAATTATTATTTTATAAAATTATTTTCGTTATCTTTAAAAAATGAATTTAAATATATTTAATATTTTCATAAAAATTAATTAAAAAAAAAAGAATAACACTATTGAAATTGTCAACGTATTATAGAATATTTTAACATCAATTTGTAACTATTGAACTTGATGCAAATAAACATTAAATTGAAATGTAAAATGTAAAACCTAATAAATAACATTGACACCATTAACATT